GGGCTCTGAAGTCAGGTAAACTTAGCTCAAATATCTGATTCTCTCTGAACTAGTTTTATCATCATGGTAAGTTTTATTAGTTCAAAGTCTTGGCTTACTTTTTACAAAATGGTAATGGAGTAACATGTTATAAAAATTAAGTTAGACAATACAGATAAAGCTTCTAGAACATAAGCCGAGAGTTCCTGGCTATCACTCCACAAGGATTTTTTTTTTTTCAATATATGGTCCATTAATAAAATATTTAACAAAATTTTCACTTAAGAAAATTACCCTTTGTTTGTTGTGATCATTTGCTTGTCTCCAGAGTAGAGTTCCTATTTTCTCTTAGGTTCTCTGTCACTCATTCCAGTGCAACTCATGTCTAATCTGTGGTGATTTTAATATCTCTGGAAACATCCTGACCTGTCACTCTCATGAGCATTTCCCCAAAGATCTTATCCTCCACCTTGTTTTAGTCAGACTGCCCACATAATCATACCCAAGCCAATTCATGAACTGACTGTTAATCTTCAATAATCTTGATTTCAATATTCTGTTTTCTTCCCAGTATCTCAAATTTTCCATATTCCCCCTTCGAGTATCCCAAATTTATTCCACCTAAATTTCCACCCTACTTATATTTACAACCCCTTAACCCTAAACCTGTCACTGACCTCTCATCTCCCTCTTCACCTCTATCATGACCTTGCTCGTCATCTCAACATGGCTAAAATTCAAGGTTTTGTCATTTTATTCATGCCCTTTGTGTGCCGCCTTCTCTTTTCACAAGACCCTAAACACAATGAATTCCAATTTTCCCTTTACTCCTATATCCATAAACATGATGTTTATCTAAAAATATTAATATCTATTCAAAGGATTTTGCTTGAAATCTAAACCCAAGAAACCCAAAAGAGGACCATTTGCCTGGTCCATTTACTTCCCATTGTCTAAATTTCTAATCTCCACACTCGACTCTCTTCCCAAACTTCCAAAACATCCTCACTCTTGCTTTGTTTTTCACTGAGGAATTAGGAACAAATGTAAGAAGTTATCCACTATCTGACCCTGCCTCTCTGTGCTCCTTTCTAAAGCCCACTCTTACAATTTTGAAAGAAAAAAACCATCTCTACTAACAAAATTGCTTCATCAATACTCCTTCCTTTCCTTAAATCATTGCTTCCTTCCTACATAATTCTTGTCCACATGCAAATATGCTATTATTTGTCTAGTATCAGAAAATTACATATAATAACCTCTTCGTGTTCCCATTCCACCTACAGTTATACTCCCTTTTTCTGCTCTCCTCCATAACAAAATTCTTCTAATGACCTACCTGCCTCCAGTTCTCTCTTACACCCACTCTATTCAGGCTTCTATCCCTACCATTCCATAATAACTACTCTTATGAAGAACATTAGGTTACACCCAGACTCAATTTTTTGTCTTCTTTTAAATTGACTTACCAGCTGATTTGACATAATAGATTACTCTAGATTCCTTAAAATACTTTCTTCAGTTTTCTTATAGTTCAAAAACTCTCCTGATTGACCTTCCAACAAATTGGCTGCTCTTTCTCAGTATTCTCTATTGGTTCCTCTTCATCTCTCAGATGTCACACAATGAAATTTCCCAAGACAAAGGCACTGGCTTTGTTCCTAAATTTATACTCATTACCTAAGTAAGACCTCTGAATGTGTGGCTCTATATACTACATGCCAACGGTGCCTGGTGTCACATCCACAGGCCAACTGTCTGAACAAACCCACCTGAATATCTAATAAATGTCTAGATCTAATTTAATTTCAAGTAAAAAGTTCACAATTGAATCTCTAATATCATGTATCAAATTCATTCTACCTACAGTCTTTCCTATAATTAATAGCAATTCTACTCAACTTATTAAGATTAAAAACCCTGACATCATCTTCAATGTTGACTTTCTTTCGTACTCCACAGATAATCTTTCAGCAAATCTTAAAACATATTCATAATCTGACTTCCTTTCACTTCCTTAAGTACCATCCCTCTTATCTAAGCCTCCATCATCTTCCTTCTTATGTTCAAGACATTTGTCAGAACCTCTTGTTAGATCCAACTAAAATGGATACACACAAAACGACCACTGGCCACTCTGGGCACCAGATTCATCTAAAAGATTGTACTAAAGGTAGAACTTATCAAAAGCCACCATTTTTCTTCCATGGGAGCCCTTGCAGTTGGAATGCAGCAGAACACATGGTTACCATGTTTTTAATAGCTGCTCCTGTGCTAGCTCAGGTGTGAAAAAGTAGTAATCATACTGGGTAGGTTGAGAACCCCATGCTCCAAAACAGACAAAAATGTCTTATAACTCTACCATTATTGCTTCTAGGATTCCGTGAGGGACATGTCAATTATAGGAATAATCTAACTCAGGAAAACCTAAAGATTTTTACCAGTGTCTCTAGTTCGATGATACAGTTTACCAACTGGGATCATTTTTGCCATTAGAAATATTGCCAAGGAACATGGTTGTCTTTTCAATTTTATCAGGTTTATGGGTGAATAATTCTAGAAAGTTTCCCAAAGCCCAAATTCTCATACAGAAGATGGAAGGGTTTTGTTTACTCTAGACCCACATTAATTTCCATAATAACATTCTACTGATATCTTTGTGTCTACTTTTCCTCTGTTCAATCTGCTCCAGATGGAGCACCCCTGTTGATTCTGTTAAAATATAGATCAAATCACATGACTCCTCTTAAAACACTTCAGTGGCTCCCCGTGATTGCCAAGTGTTATTAAAATATAAAGCCCCACAGGACATGGATTTGAACCATCTCTTTGAAATTTTCCAATAGTATCCTCTTCCTTGTTAATTCCGCTCCCACCATGTTAACTTTCTTACTGTTCCTACATCTTCCAAGCATGCATCTGACTTTGGAATATTTAATTATGCCCCTCAGATATACACACACACTTAATTTCCTTCAATTCTGCTCAAATGAAACATTCCCAATGCAGACATTTACTTATTTTTGAGGTGCAGCTGATGGAACCCAGGGCCTCATGCATGCTAGGCAAGCGCCCTACCACTAAGCTGCATTCTGTAACCCCTAAGTCAAAAGGGATTTTCATTCTTGGTTTTCCTTATTTCTCTTAATAACATTTAATATCTTTGTGTATGCATATTTTTATTATTTATTGTCTGTTCTTCCCACATAAGACATGCTTCATAAAGGCAGGATTTTGTAAATTTATTCACTGCTTATCTCCAGGAGCACCAAATATGCAGAAAGTACTCAATAAATATTTATTGAGTGAATTTATTGGATTTAAGGCTTATTCAAATTTAAATATAGTTTATCACAAGCTATCTCTCATTTGAATTCCATTTTAGTGTGACTTACCTTACTACTTACTCATCTTAATAATCATAATTTTCTAAAATTTTGTTAGTAATATAACTGGTGATTTTTCTGAATATTTTAAGAAAGTATGAATGCAATTTAAAATGAAAGAATAAGGAGTCATAAAAATGAAAGAATAAGAATTATTTCCCTAAGCCAATTATAAATTTAAAAGGATCTATTTCCCCATTGTAAAATGCTTATGATTTTTTAGAAGCCAGAAGGACTCAACAAATGTGGGTTGTGTTGTTGGCTCAAAGTTGATCTTACTCTTTAGCCTAGAAATAAACATACCAACATCTAAATGATCTTCCTACAAATAATTTGACAACTCTAACTAGTTTATGAGACATTAAATTTTTTTCTAATTATGTAATAAATCATGGGGATGATATTTTCATTTTCAAGAATGGACAGACACTACTAATGTTTTCTTAATTGTCACTGATGTCTTTAGCCTAATGATTTCATTGCTATTTATTCAATCGCTTGTAGTTAGCCATCTGGTAATATGTAATCTGATACTGCCTCCTCACTAGTAGAAATAGTCTTAGGGAGCATAGACTAAATAAAATCTATTGAAGTCAAACAATTTTACAAATCCAGTTTGAAATTATACTTGGTCAAATGCAGATTTTAAAAAAAAAAGATTGATTTGAGTTTTATGCGTAAACTTGTCTCAACAAAGTAATTTAAAAATATTTAATGGAACTTTATCAAAGAAAACTATATTTAAAAAGCAGATATTTAAACATATTGCCCATGTCAGAGAAATGTCAAGGAGAGAATTTATTAGCCTGAGAATTTGTTCCTAACTAATATAGATAGTCTAAATGTCTCTACTAATTAATGACTATTAACTAGTTAACTAGAATTTACTAAGTCCCTGTTGTATACTGACTGTTTTTCTACCTTTTGGAAAATAAACTTGGTCCATATATAACTAAATCCTGTCTTTGAGATTCTTCAACCAAAATGGTAAATGAATAAAATCCTAGAGAATACTCAGAAATATGCATTTGGTGTCTAATACATGCCAGTATATTTCTAGATTCTTACTATATAAATTAAATAGAATAACTGGAAACATCAAAATACCTCCAATTAAGAAATATTATACATTTCTCTAGAAAATGCAGAGAAAAAAGATCTATCAAATAATGGCTAAGATAAAAATAACTTAAAATATTTAGAAGATATGAATAGTGGAGAAATAATTATACTTGAAATACCTATTAAATTGGCTTTTTTGATTGACAGACAAAATAGCCTTAGCACTTATATTTCCTAAGATACTTACTTATTAAGGCTACTTTGAAATTTTTTCTCTGATCTTTCTAGCACTTTACAAAGACTAGCTCAACCGTGTCAGGAAAGCAAATCTTTCATAGCAATGAACAAATTCTCACATAACACCTCAGGTAGGTGTGTTAAGCTAGGGACTCTGTATCTAGGACTTGGGGTCCCTGCCCAGTTTTCCCATCTGTGCAATCCTGATGACATTTCTTTCATTAAAAAATATATAAATTACTGCCTGCAAAATGCCATCATACTTAATATCATAGTCATGGTTATCAAACGTCATCCCAATTTGTAAGTGATACAAACATAGATGTCTCATTTTACCTCATCTTGCTGTGAGTTTAGCAGCTGCAATTTCATATGCTTCATATAGGCCATGGTAATTGGCATGTTGTAGTCAATCATGCTGGTCACCAAAGTAGGAGGCTTTCCATTATCTGCAAAGAAACATTTTTAATGGGTAATGAAAGTGATAGTACATTCTACCTGTAACTTCAGAATGATCCAATTTGTCCAAATTAAAATAGGCGTCTAAATACCCAGAGTTTAAAAGCATTAGTAGCATTGTAGATAGATTCCAGAAAAATAAGTGGTAAGGTTTCACAAAGGTGTATTGACACAAATTAACAATGTGGATAAATCGACTATTTTTCACTACAGGGGAGCTTTTAAGTATCCTGAGTAATAATGAATAAAGTTATTATAGTGATAAAACACAATTATTTGCATTTTTGTTTTGTTACATAATTACTTCCTATGTCTACTTCTGAGTGCCAAAGGAAATTTGTTTTCTTTCTTTTTCCTTCTTCTTTTCATTTTTTGACCAGGTATCTTCCTACACCTGGGGAAAAACTACCTTAAATGTAATGTATTTCTGAGATTATTTTAATTAGTGAGAGAAATTCATATTTAAGAAAATGACATAGATAATCTAATCAAAAATAAATCACAATTTTATGTAAAATTTTGGTTGAAGGAAGTCCATATTAGTCATGATTTATCAAAATAAGGAATTGATAGACTTAAAAGGACATTGATAGAATAAATTTCCTTGCTGAATATATCTAAAATACCATGGAATAATATGATCAATGAAAATTAAAACATTACTATAGGGAAAATGTTATTTTCTACAGTCGAAATTGTCTTCTAAGAATGGGCACTGAATTACTTTCTAAGTGGATATTCAAAATTCACTGCCTCCTACTTGAATAAATGAGATGATCTGACTTGTTGAACTGTTTCAGTCTCCCTCGTTTTTATGAAATTGTGAGATATAAATTGCCATTATGAATAAAATTACTTTAAATCTCACTATTTGACACTGCGGCTACCTTTATGATCTGTTCCATCTGGGTTTAAATGCATTCTTTTCTGGCACTCTGAGCAGCTCATTAGAAATCGTGTCACCGCTTCTCTTGGTAGGAAGGCATAGCTCTCTGAAATCTGAAATGATTCACAAAATATAGGTGTTACTATATAAGACGACAGAGCATGATTTAACAGAAAAGATCATTGTATTTCCAAATAAGACGCATTATTCCATAATGGCAGGAAGCACAGTGAAAGCATGCACTGCATACCATGCATCATTTCAAGAAATATCTATCCAACTTGATTAGACCTCTCTTCATAGGAGCCAATAGTGCCACGTGAAGAATAAAAAAATCCACCACATCTGGATGGATGTGTATTTTTTTTTCATTTCTTTTAGAGAAAATCATCACAGTATACAGATATTCTAGTGACTTTTCCTTATTATTAAAAATTGCCAACATTGTTTTTTTAAACTTACTGCTAGCAATATGAAAATTTTATCCAATTTCACATATATATTTTAAAATTTAGCCCCAAGTCGAAGCAGTAAATTTTGAATTCTGCATAATGAGCATCTCTTCATTGTAGCTTTGAAAAATATTTTAAGTGAGTATTAAAGGCACATTCAAAGAGAACTCGTATATATATTACTGCAGCGAATCATCCCTTCCACAGAAAATGACACACCTGGAAATGCACTCAGGCAACTATCTCATTTATTTCACATTGATTTTCACATTGATTTTCAGAGAAAGCTTTGCCTCTGTCCATACAAAACTTTTTTTTTAAGAACCATGATATGGAATCAAGTTAGAGATCAATACTCCTGTTTCAATAATTTTGTAAATATTAACTTTACAACAAGGTATTTATCTCATCAAAGAAAATCATACTTAAAGTAAAATGGATAGATTGTTAAATATCTCTAAATATTTAACAATCTATCCATTTTAAATTTAAATCTGGCACTGACTCATAGAGTGCTACTGAGGTTCTTGGAAAATTTTTTTTAAAAGTGAAGAAATGTCCTCAAAAAGTAAATGCAACAAATCATTGGGAATATACTTCTAAAAAGTCCACTGACAAATACTGTAATTGAAAGGAAGATGAGCATTCTTTTCAACAATCAAGATCCTGTCTTTTTGAAAGAAACAGTATTTTAAAAAGCACTAAATTATAAAGCCAAATCCTGGAAGATCTCAAGTGCCACTCAAATTTGCCTCAGAACAGCACAATTAAGGTAAAAATGTCAAGTATCCCAAAGAAACTGAAGAAAAATCCACCAGAGATAATCAACCATAGATAAATCATAGATAAGATAATTTGCAAAGTTCATCTTGAAAATTCAATTATTTATAATACCTAAAATTTTCTTGCATTTACTTTTTTTTTAATATAAGAATTGCTATTCCAACTTGGATCTGGCTACACTGGGTGATACAAACTTTTAAAAAATTGAAAAAATACTCAATTATCAAAACCATTTAAAAACAAACAGTTGCATTGCTATAGCTGTATTTTTTTTCAAACTGTGTTTCTCACAATGTTATTGTGCAAGTTTATGTCCTTCACTCAAGACACAAAGCATTGCAAGTTAAGAGAAAAATTTGGAACAGAGAAGAAACTATAAAACAGGGAAATTTGTCTCATGCCTGTCTTCTCCAGCCCCAAACATTCTTCTCTAATTTCAACTGTTTTATTTCTGACTATTTTCAATAGAAAGGCCCTCAAACTTTAATCACCTCGTATATAAATATGCAAGTCCTCAGTTCCAAAAATGATAAGAGAATCAACCATTTTCAAAATTAGGATTCTCATTAACTATATGACACTAGTTTTTGATTTGGCTGTGTTTCATTTTGATTTTAGAAGAAAATCCTAAACAATTTATGTGTAGTTAAGAATTCCATTATTTGAGTGCTTATGGATTTTTATCATTTAATCCTCACAACACAGCCCTGCCTGAAGAGATTACCATCATCACTATTATGGTATGTGTTTGACAGATGAGAAAACTGAGCTTCAAGAGGCTTTGTGTATTTTTGCCAATCAAGTGCAAGACAGAACTCACATCTGATAACTTGGTTTCAGAGACTACCCCTTGAACCTATCTCTAGGCTTTATAACAGCTCCTGGTAATAATTATCTTTAAAAAAATAGAGGTGGTTTCATCCATAAAGAGTTAAGATATTAACCTTACAACATAAGTTAATTACAATTATTCTAAAATGTTTATGACATTCCCTGGTATGAAGATCTTTAAAAGTATAGAAGGCACCATCCTATTTGAGGTGATCCTTCTGAATAGGAGGGGCAGCCAAACACTCTATGCCTTCTCTCAGGTTATAAGTTCCACAAGAAACTTGTCAGACCAACAGTAACATTTCAAAGCTCCACCTGGAAGAAATTAACAGGCCATCTGTCCTGTTCCAGAACAGGCAGAAGAACTAGGGCTAAAATGATGTCTTAGTGTCTATTATAATATAATGAGCAGGAAACTAAATACACAGGATTTCCACTTTCCATGGAATGTATGACAGGAATGTAAATAGATATTTCTAAAGGAACAAGATTTCTTATTGTTAAGAGAAATTCTCCAGCAGAGAAGCCAATTTGTCCTAATATTTGAAACTAATTCAGGAGCTGAAATAAAGGCATTCCATGACATTGGTGAAATATGAGTAGTATCAATCACTTTATAAAGCAACCAAACAAAACTAAGCTAACCAAAATATTTAGCAAACAAAATCACACCATTTTGACCTCAGTGCACTATGTGGAGTGGGGTGGGGGCAGCGAGATCAATGTTTCTAAAGAGCATGCCTTTGAGTCAGGCACAGTGGTTCACATCTGCAATTTAAGTGACTCAGGAGGCTGCGGTAGGAGGATAGCAAGTTTGAGGCCAGTCTCAGCAACTTAGCAAGACCCTGTCTCTAAAAAAAAAAAAAAAAAAAAAAAAAAGACTGGGGATTTATCTCAATGATAAAGTGTCCTAGGTTTAATATTCAGTTCCAAAAATACATAAAGAAATGAGTATCATTCATTTGAAAAAGTCACTTGATGCTTTGGTAGAGTGTGTTCCTTTTCAGATGCTGAGCTTTACAGGAAAAACAAAATTGAACATAAAATCATTACATCAATTGCTTTTCATCACTCTACCTTTGTTTTTAAAATGAACATAGATAATAAAAATAATACCTTTATTTTATTGGAATAAAAACATGATAATCATAGCTTTTGTCAAATATCACAAACTACACTTACAGAAGAATTTGCCTTTGGGAATCATACTTCTGACATTTTCTCCTGTGAAACCCTAGTCTTTATGGATAAAGAATAAATTACAAACAATCACCGAGTAAAACCTGCTTATCTTCATTTGAGAAAATTTCCATCACAAACCATCTACAGTGTGTGTTATGTTGGATAACACAGTTATAGAAAATTTTATATTTTAAAAATGAATAAAATTAAAAATAGAATTGAAAAGAGCCTATCAATCAAAATGTTATTAAAGGACCTATATGTGCTGACTCATGAGTCATGGTATATCATAATCCAGAAAAAACTCTATCTGAAATGGTCAAACCAATACTCTGGGCAACATCTCCAGTTCATGGGTCCCACTCCCTTTATCTGTAGTACATATTGTGCATCTTTGCATACATTTCAAGAAAGGGATTTAGGGCCTCCCAGAGGCTTGGGAGGCTGAGGCAGGAGTATTGCAAATTCAAAGCCAGACTCAGCATCTTAGGGAGGCCCTACACAACTCAGCGAGATTCTGTCTCTAAATTAAAAAATTAAAAAAGGGCTGAGGATGTAGCTCAGTGGATAAGTGCTCCTGGGTTCAATCTTCAGTACAAAAAAGAAAGAAAAAAAATAAAGGGATCTAGGGTTTAAACAAACAAAAGCTCATAACATTGTCCCAGAGTGGAATTTGAAATGATATGGGATACACAGCCATGGCTTTGGTATTTTCCTAGACATGTTACAAAATTGAAACGCCCAGCCAATGACTTGTGATTTTACTTATGTGGGTTGTTTTTAACAATTCCATGCATACAAAAAGGTGAGCAGAGTACTTCTACAGAGGAAATAATTAAATTGCCAAGGTGTATAGGAACAATCTTGCTCAACTAAACATTTATTCATTCAACAAACACCCGAATGCAATCATCCCTCAATACTGCTGGATATGCTTCTAAGCACTGATGTGCCTGGATATATCAAATTATTATAATCACATATTGGTAATTATTTGACTAGTTTAGAACAAGAAATTGTGAAAAATCCTTTGCTCAGGACTCAAAAATTCTTAGGTGAACAGTTCATAAATAACAATAACCAATTAGACAAAAAAGCCAAAAATACTGGCCTGCCCATCCAATTTGCATTCACTATGTTCCTCAAAAATTTGCTTCAGAATTCTTTCAGGAAGAGTTATGCCTATCTGATCTCTAAGTGTATGCTGAAGACCAACAGAATTCCTGTGCCTTAATGATATTTCTAAAACCAAAACCAGAGTGCTGCTAGATTTGCCTATCAACCCCAAACTCGCCACTCCTATGCCGGTGGAGATGCTGACATTTTGACTGGGTTCCTATCGATACTACAGCACTACCAATTTTACTCCTTACTGCAGAATGTTATTTTGAGTTCATATTGCTGTCAATTTCTTCTTTCCCTTACCTTTTCTCTAGATTGTTTTCCATGTTCAATCTTTCTATTCATTCATCCATATTCCAGTCAGGAATACCTAGAGTTGATTTTTATATCAAATTAAGATGGCTAGATAAAACATAAGGCACCCAATTAAATTTGAAACTCCAAATAATCATACAATATTTGGGTCAAGTTATACTAAAAATCATTGTGGTTTTTTTCTGAAATTCAACTATAACTGACATCCTATATTGTGTTTGTTAAATTTGGTCACCTTAACGAGTATATTTATCTACGACGAAGGACAATACAAGTTTGTGTCTAAAGTTAATTTTAAATTTGGAACTGTTAGGTCAGGAACATCTCAGAGTTTGACAAGAGAAGAAATGAGAGCTAGGAAAATGGTAGTAATTTTTGGACAGTGCAGGCAATTTCAGATCTCAGTGCCGGTCTCAAGCAATGTTTTG